ACTCATCGAGACCTTTCATTTGAATACCCACTTCAATTTTTCATATATTTTATATATATTATATATATGAATATATGAAAAATATATCAAAATGCATGTGGGTACTCAAATGAAAGCTCTTGATGAGCGTTACAACGGAATGAGCTTATATCTTTAAAAATGTCAACAGTTAAAAAATTATAACGCAATTTAAAAAAAGTCATTATTTAATAAAGTTAAATTTTATTTATTTATAGTTCACAAGTCGCGGCAGTTACATGGTGACTGCAAGTTTGCTAGTTATTATTATTATTATTATTATTATTATTATTATTATTGTTATTATTATTTTCGCAGATAACATTAAATAAATAAAAAATAAAATTAATATAAAAAATATCAAATGATCAAAGTGAAAAAAAAAAAAATAAAATAAATAAAAAAAAGAGGATGAACCGACCGATTAGTAACGCTTACCCAACATAATAAGAGAAAAATGGTGGTCGAATTATTTGAAACGGTACATCGTGTACAATAAAAATATTTTTTTTATTATAAATTATAGTAACCATAACTGAATATTAATTCCCCACAATATTATACACATATAATATATATCTTCTCCAATGATCTGCGGGGTTCCGATTTTATTGTCCTCATTATTTTTATCTGATAAAAATAATATACAAATCGATCTTCATTTTAATAATAATAAACCGGCTCCACTTAAAACTAGTCTTATTAGAGAGTTATATATATTTATTTTCTTATGTTTCAAAATATGTCAAAATATGTACTCAATGTTTGATAAAGAGAAAAAAATACGTGGGAATCTTATTTAAATATTTTCCACTTGATTTCCTTGTGGTTTACGTTACGTGAGATGTTTTATTTTATTTTATTGTAAATATGAGAAATTCTTGAATTTTACCAGATTCTTCAATTCATTTGAATAACACTGGAATATTTTTTCTAATTTACATTTGTTTATTTACATAATAATACTGCTGGTAAATTATATATAATTGCAGACAATGCACGACCTTGTTCAGGTAAAATGTATCATATTTTTAGTCAAGTCTTTCTACTCGATTTAGTTCCGCGTCTAGACACTAAAAAAGAAGAAATCAAGGAATAAATTTTTTTTGTGATTTAAAATTTCAAATATATATTTTTATAATAGTAATAACAATAATAAAATTTTAATTTATGTTCTTATTACTAGCATTCTTGCAGTCAGTATGTAATTACCGTGACATGTAAACTATAAATAGATAAAAATTTGCTTTATCAAATAAATATTTTTGTTAAATTGCAATGTACTTTCTTAACTATTGACATTTTTAAAGATATAAGCTCATCCCGATGTAACACTCATCAAGAGCTTCAATTTGAGTACCCACATGCATTTTGATATATTTTTCATACATACATATATATAGTATACATAAATATATAAAATATATGAAGAATTGATGTGGGTACTCAAATGAAAGGTCTCGATGAGTGTAACATCGGGGTGAGCTTATATCTTTAAAAATATCATTTGTAGACAAGGTACAATGTCATTTCTTAATTATTGACATTTTTGACGATATAAGCTCATCCCGATGTTACACTTATCGAGACCTTTCATTTGACTATCCACATGGTATTTTTTATATATTTTATATATATGGTATTTGTAAAATATATAAATATATAAAATATATGAAAAATTGATGTGGGTACTCAAATGAAAGGTCTTGATGAGTGTAACATCGGGATGAGCTTATATCTTTAAAAATGTCAATATTTCACAAGATATTGTTAAATTTCATTGTACTTTCTAACCTATTGACGTTTTTAAAGATATAAGCTCATCTCGATGTTACACTCATCAAGAGCTTTTATTTGAGTACCCAGATGCATTTTTGATATATTTTTCATATATACATATATGTAATATATATAAATATATGAAAAATTGATGTGGGTACTCAAATGAAAGGTCTCGATGAGGGTAACATCGGGATGAGCTTATATCTTTAAAAATGTCAATAGTTCGCAAGATACAATGTCATTTCTTAATTATGTATTTAGAGATAGAGTATTTTCGAATGCAGCCTAAATACTTATCATAATAAATTAACTATTGATGAAAATGATATGAAATCTTGAAAAATCACAAAATCAAGTCAAGACCTTTGCAATGACACTAAATTTTACTAAATATCCGCAAAAAAGTCTGCGAAAATTACTGTAAAAATTTTATAGTGACCTAAAGAAGAAAATTTTAAATAATTAAAAAAAAATTTACATTATAAGTTAAATTACAATTAATTAAAATCAAATAAAAAGATAACTAATATTTAAAAAAAATATGTAAATTAATATTAAAATATGATTAGCAGAATTTATTATAATACAATAAAAAAATAATATAGCAAGTTTGAGACGCGGATATGACATGCAAATTGTGAAAGTTTATTCTTTGACAATTAACGATAGCTTATTCGCACCATCACACCATGACATTAAATGCAATGATCCAACGGTCAAGATTACAATTATTATCATCTTCATTATTATTATCTTATTTATTATAAATTATAATGTTAAAATTTTTTTAATTATTTACACACAGAAGAATATTGTTCTCGTAATTATCTTCAGCGCAAAAATTTTCTCACGTTTATAATTCACAGTAATTAAAAAATCTTATTAATAATAAATCATTGTTGTCTCAAAGATTGTAATTAAAAAAAAAATCTGCTTATTAATCATTGGTTAAATTTAATTTTGTTGCAAAAATATGTTTCATATATACATATATGTAATATATATAAATATATGAAAAATTGATGTGGGTACTCAAATGAAAGGTCTCGATGAGGGTAACATCGGGATGAGCTTATATCTTTAAAAATGTCAATAGTTCGCAAGATACAATGTCATTTCTTAATTATGTATTTAGAGATAGAGTATTTTCGAATGCAGCCTAAATACTTATCATAATAAATTAACTATTGATGAAAATGATATGAAATCTTGAAAAATCACAAAATCAAGTCAAGACCTTTGCAATGACACTAAATTTTACTAAATATCCGCAAAAAAGTCTGCGAAAATTACTGTAAAAATTTTATAGTGACCTAAAGAAGAAAATTTTAAATAATTAAAAAAAAATTTACATTATAAGTTAAATTACAATTAATTAAAATCAAATAAAAAGATAACTAATATTTAAAAAAAATATGTAAATTAATATTAAAATATGATTAGCAGAATTTATTATAATACAATAAAAAAATAATATAGCAAGTTTGAGACGCGGATATGACATGCAAATTGTGAAAGTTTATTCTTTGACAATTAACGATAGCTTATTCGCACCATCACACCATGACATTAAATGCAATGATCCAACGGTCAAGATTACAATTATTATCATCTTCATTATTATTATCTTATTTATTATAAATTATAATGTTAAAATTTTTTTAATTATTTACACACAGAAGAATATTGTTCTCGTAATTATCTTCAGCGCAAAAATTTTCTCACGTTTATAATTCACAGTAATTAAAAAATCTTATTAATAATAAATCATTGTTGTCTCAAAGATTGTAATTAAAAAAAAAATCTGCTTATTAATCATTGGTTAAATTTAATTTTGTTGCAAAAATATGTTTAATCTTTTCTAAAATTTCATGATAGCTACAGGTGTAAAAGAGAATAGACGACAAAATTCTTGGATATTTTCATGATTTCAAGTTTATTTGGACGCAGTGATAAAAGACCCAGGTCCATTCCTCAGATGATTTATGTGTCGGCGCGGGCTGCAATATAAACAGGTGCTCAAATGGATTCGAGAGCCCAGAACCATTTAAGTAGAATTAAAAAAAATAAATGCTTATAAAAGATATAAAATAAAATATATATAAGGAGTTGCAGTTGAAAATTTTTATTTCTTCTTAAACTTGAGTCTATTTTAAACCTCTGCTATTTTGTCATAAAAATTCTTGACACTTAAAAATAATTTTATTTAATATGTTAATTTTTTTTTTTTATTTTTAACTGCATAATTTTTTATATGAAATAATTGCAAGTGTTTTAATAAAAATTTTTTTTGAACAGTTTGATAATTATAAAATTTTTTTTTTATTATTTATTGCTATTATGTAATTTAATAGAAAAAAAAATTACTCTGATAAATTATTTATACTATAATTAAAAATAAAATATTAGTGAAATTTAACTCAAAATATTTAACTAGATTTTTCACAAAATTTTTTATTTATTTATTTATTTATCATAAAGTTATGCCAAGGCCTGATTTTATTGATTTAAATAAAAAAATTCTTATTCAAAAACAATATTTAATCCAACTCATTCAATTTAGAGTGTCATAAAAAAAAATTAAACACAAAATTACAATAATATGTTTTACTTATTAAAAAATTTACAATAATTTGAAGAAATTAAATTATAAATAAAATTTTAATTTTTTAATTCAGCTTTTTAGGTCTCAAAATAATTCCAACAATCTTAAATCAAAGTCACTAAACTACAATATTTTTACATATACAATCGTGGTCATTAATTTATAGTATGTTTTTAAGTTCACTGGAAAAAAGCCATTTGTAAACTCAAACGCTTATAAACTATAAATTTGAAAATTAATTGATAATGTCATTTGCAAAATTATTCGCAAATAAAAAATGATATTAAGGGGTTAGGTGGATTTCAAAGGTTCAAAAAAAGGGTATTTTTACTTTTGTTTCAATACAATTCTTTGAAGTGAAGTTGACCATAACTTTACGATAACTTGTAGATTAAAACTTATTGCCAGCTACTTTTCGTCAAGTTATCTATAATTCGCGGCACTAGGTTATCTGAAAGTTATAGTTAAATATATAAAATATATGAAAAATTGATATGAGTACTCAAATGAAAGGTCTAGATGAGTGTAACATAGGGATGAGCTTATATCTTTAAAAATGTCAATAGTTAAGAAATGACATTGTATCTTGTCAACTATTGACATTTTTAAAAATATAAGCTCATCCCGATGTTACACTCATCAAGAGCTATCATTTGAGTACCCACATGCATTTTCATATATTTTTCATATATACATATATATAAATATATAAAATATATGAAAAATTGATGTTGGTAACTCAAATGAAAGGTCTCGATGAGTGTAACATCG